TTCTAACAATTTTCTAACTTTGTTATGTACTATCGGGTAGTGTGCTACATGCGAATGAGATATTTTATAATTAATTAATGTGAGAAGTTTATTTAATTTGTATATATAATATTTCTATAAAATTTTAATTATTTTTTATTTTTATTAATTAAAATTTATCATAATTTTTCAATAAAAAATAATTAGGAGCCCAGCCTAACCTGTGCCTTCTACTTTAAAATTAAAATTGACACATATTAGAAAAATACCTTAGGAGCCCAGCCTCTTAAGTTGATATGTAAGACACAACAATAATATTCTATAACTTTATTTGGTTTAAATTTTTAACTTTAAAAAAATAAATAATTGTAATTATTAGTTAATAATTATAATTGTTGGCAAATAATTAATATAAAATATCTAATACTTAATATCTATGGATAAAATTTAACCTATAACTAGTCCATAAAGCTGGCTTAAGGTTGTCTTTTCTAATTCTTTTAACTTTAATATGCTGCACAAATCTCTATAGATTAGAAGTGTTAAGGTGTTTGATTTAATTGGTCGGGTTTCAAATTTTACTAATGTCTTGAAAAAAGTTTCTTCTCCAAATTATAAACTGCTAAAAAGAAAAAGAAAAGAAAAGAAAAGGCCAACCGGCCTGTGACCCAATTGGTTGGCTCCCAAGTTTTAGGGCTTAGGTGAGGCGGAGGTCAGGGCTTCAAGCTCTGTCACCGTCGTGAACTCCATCAACTTGCGATCCAATGGTCGCGCGTCTCAAATGAGGGGGTGGAACGTTCACTTTCTTGGAAAAATTCCAACTGCTAACAAATTAACTCTACTAACTTCCCAACCATCTATTGGTCAAAAAAAAAAAGAAAAAGAAAAGATAGATTAGAAGTGAAACTTAAATAAAGCTCCATCAATAGAGGATTTGTAACTGTTTTCTTCCTCTGGTTGGTGATAACGCTGGCAGCCTAACAAGCTAAGGTACCTATGTCCCTAAACCATACATTTATAGAAATTAGAGACTTAATGACATGATTGAAAGGTTGAGGCCCTAATGACCACCTGCAATTTATACAAAGCAGAGAGATGGTGACGTTGATGCCTCCAACATCCCCCTTTTTTTTTTTCTAATGATTAAAATATAATTTTTTATATAAATTTACATGTAATTAAATATTTAATTTTTTATTTTATTAAAATTTATAATGTTATATATATTTATTAATTTGTAAT